CATCTCTGATCTGCTGTCGAATGCTGGGCCACCTTCACATGGTTCCTTGACCTCCCCAAGCCTCAGTTTGCCTTTCTGGGCATGAGGAGCCTGGGCCAGAGCCTTATCTGCCAGCTTAGTTGTTCAGTTCCGGTGAGAGTCCCAGGAGAGCCGATAAAGCAAAGGATAAAGAAAAGAAGCCTTTGAAAAGCTCAGAGCCTGCACCCCGCCCCCCAGGTGTGATTATTATTGTTACCTTGATTCAGTGATAAGTGCGATGCAGAACAGTTGCCAAGAAACCAGGAGCTGTCTGCAGCAGCTTCCAGCTGGCCCACTCAGGAACTGGGCCCTGTACCCTAGACCCCTGCCTGACTCTTTCTCAGGGAAAGATGGACACCACCAAGAGGTGAGGAAGCTGGGCCAACCGGCTGGTGACCAGGGAGCTGCAGGAGCTGAAGGTCACTCTCAAGTGTGCCTGGCCCAGGCTCCCAGGTTAGCTCTCCCTATGACGTTTGGCAAGTCACCTCTTATGTGGCTGCCACCTGTTCGTATGTCAAGGATGTGCCCAGTGCAGACAGGGCAAGCTTGGAGCCAAGAAGGCCATAACAATGTCCGCAGAAGTCCAGGGCTGGGGTGGAAAGTCGCTGTGGGCAGGCCAGTCGATAAGATGAGGAGCCTGTGTGGTGGACAGCTGGGACATACGTAGTGGAGTCAGACCCCAGCCTTGCCCTTTCTTTGCTGTGTGATCTTGGGCTGGTTAGAGAAAGTCTCTGTGCTTCTGTGTTTTCATCTGGACAAAAGTGTGATGAAGTCACACCTCAAAAAGCCATTGTGGGGTGGGGGGCGGGGGACAGGGGGCATCAAGATGGCTCAGTAGGTAAAGGCGCTTGTCACCAAGCCTGAGGACCTAAGTTTGATTTCTGGAACTCACGTGGTGAAGGAGAGAACCAACTCCTGTGAGTTGTCCTCTGCACACATTGTAGTTAGCATACATGCACACGCACATACGCACACATGCACACAAGCACACACACATATGCACACACGCACACACAGTACGCATACGTACACACACACACACACACACACACACACACACACACACACACACACGTATGCATACGTGCACACATGCAGGGCATCTGGCAGGGTGGGCCCCTTACCCCGGCTGCAGGAGTATGAAGAGTGGGGGATTCTTTTAACTGGGCTAGGCCTGAGGGTCAGGAAGGGTTTTGGAAAAGTGGGAAGGGGACAAGATTTAAGGGACCTCCTCCCGTGTAAACAGAATGACAGAGATGAGGATGGGACAGATGAGACGGGAGGGACCTAGAAGGCCAAGTTCATGTAGGTGGCGGGAGGTGTGCGGAGGCCAGGGCTGCAGGGAGTGAGGCTGGAGAGGAGCAGGAATGTCTGAGCAGAAGGCAGAGTTGAGGGGAGGGGGAGGAGAGGCTAAGTCTGTTGCTTCGAATTGTTAAATGAACAGCTGCTATTTGCTAAGAAGCTCTGTCATGTGGGGTTAAAGGGATACTTCTTCACCCAGATCCCTGGGAGTCTTATGGTCTTGGACTCACTGAATGTGACCTTCGGCAAGCACTCAATCTTGCAAGGTTTTAGTTTCTTCTCTCAAAAATTAAGGACCCCAGCTGGTAAGAGGGCTCAGCAGGCAAAGTTGCTTGCCGCCAAGCTTGAGGACCTGAGTTTGATCCCTGGGGCTGTGCTGTGGTGGAGAGAGAGAGCCAATTCCTCTGGGTTGTCCTCTTTCTTATTGTCATCCCTGTGCCGACCCTGCTGCCGGTACTGGCATCTCTTCAACGGTCAACAGGGTGTGATTAGCAGTGCTCAGCCCTTAGGCTGGGATGGCTCTGTGAGGACTGGTCCCTCAGGGTTGGCCACACGTTAAGAAGTTCAGATCTTGACTTTGGGGGCCTCAAACTAGGGTGCAGACGCCTGCTCTGTACGCCTTTCTGGTCCTGTTTCCTCGTCTAGGAAGTAGGCAGTTTGAAAGCACTACCTTGTTAGGCTGGAAGGCTTTTGTTACGATTGTCATTCCACCCATCAGGACTGAGGACAGAATGTCCTCTACCCCAGTCCCACCCCGCCCTTTCCCAGTCCTTTAGGACCCAGCTGAGGAGTTGCCTAGCTGGGGGAGGGCCAGGACTGTGGTCAATAGAGAGGAGGGAGCCCAGAGCAGGGAGGTGAGGGGTGGAGGTGGGGGGGGGGTTAAGTACAGGATGAGGGTCCTATAAAGGAGCTGAAGTATCCCCCCGACACACATCCCACAGCTGTGAGACACACCCCCTAGTTCTGTTCTGGCTTCAGTAGTTCTGAGAGAGATGGACATGGGATCTGGGGAGCAGGCTAAGTTGCTCTATTAGGACTTGCCACCAAGCTGACCAGCAGCTGTCAAAGTCTGATTCTGGGGCCATGAAACGGATAGAAAGTACCAGTTATTGAACCTGGCTATGGAAATCACCATCACATGCAGCCAGAGGATCCCAGGACAGTGGTCCTCACTAAGAGCACCCGTCTGGTCTCAACAGTACTTCTACTAAGCACATTTTTCTTTTTTTTTTTTTTTTGGTGGGAGGGAGTTCAAGACAGGGTTTCACTGAATAGCCTTGGTTGTCCTGGAGCCCACTCTGTAGACCAGGCTTGCCTGGAACCCAGAGATCCATCTGCCTCTGCCTCCTGAGTGCTGGAATTAAAGGTGTGTGCCACATTCTTCTTTACACTGCTGTGTGGGTAGAGCTTATCATCGGGATCACCAGCCAATTCCCAAATAAATGACAGGGAGACTTAATATTAATTATAAATGTTCCGCCAATAGCTTATGCTTGTTACTAACTAGCTCTTACAACTTAAATTAACCCATATTTCTTATCTACCCTCTGCCACGTAGTGGTACCTTTTTTCAGCATGGCATGTTCATCTGCTTCTCTTGCATCTGGTTGGCGACTCCTCTGAATCTGCTCTCCTTCTTCCCAGCATTCTCTTTGCCCCGAAAATCCTGCCTAGCTATCAGCCAATCAGCTTTTTATTAACAGTGAGAGCAATACATACTTACAGTGTATAAAGATTGTTCCACAGCACTGCTGGGCACCAGCCATGCTTGGTCAAGGCTGTGAGCTTTGAAGTCCGGCTGTCCTTTGTCTGTAAAATATGGGGGTCAGCAGGGGCCTGAGAGCTGGCTCCGAAGGTAAAGTGCTTACATTGCAAGTATCAGGACCTGAGTTCAGATCCCCAGCGCCCAGGTAAAAAGCTGCACAATGGCACACATTTTTAACCCCAGCTCTGAGGAGACAGAAATAGGAGGATGCCTGGGTCTCACTGACCTCATTAGCTCACTAGCCAATCAGTGAGCTCCAGGTTCAGTGAGCGCCCTTGCCTCAAAAAACCAAGATGGAGATCAATTGAGGAAGACACATGACATTGACCTCTAGCTTCCAGATACATGCATACCTATACACACGTGCACACATACACACACACACACACACACACACACACACACACACACACACACACACACACTTATGGGGGGGGGGAGAGAGAGAGGGAGGGAGAGAATAAGTAGCCCTAAACTCCAGTACAATAAGGGCAGAGTGGGTCTCCACAGAATCTACCTAAACACTGTATGGGCCTCTGTCTAATCTTCCACCCCATCTCCCCCTCCCCCTCCCCACTGTCAGCGCACACTGTGACAACAGAAGTTGTGTTGAGCACATTCCCTCACTCACCAACCTTCCATGGCTTCTTCCTGCTGCCCATCTTCAGTCAGTTAGCCAGCAAATACTCAGTGGGGCCCTACTTGGGAGAGAGTTCGTTGTGGGACTGCCTGTGACTGCACAGTCATGGTGCTGAACTGTTTCGGAGACAGAGGCCCAGAGGGACTGCTGTGTCCTGGACTCAAGCTACCCTAGTCAGTTGTTGTCTGCCATCATGTCCACACTGATGCTATGGCCTCAAAAGTCTGCTGCCACCAGGTCTGTCCTTTTGAGTCAAGCAATCCGGGACACAGACCTTGGAAGAAGTTGACAGCCCTTGGGGGTAGGGGGGGGCCCTGTGCTAAGTGGGGCTGGGGCTGGTTCCTCTGACCCAGGGAGAGGCAAAGAGGCTTAGAACTTGCCAGGGTCGTCTTCTGGGCCAGGATCCTATGGGTCCTGCCTCTCCTGGGTGTGTCTGCCTGTCTCTGCCTGACTCAAGCCTGCCACAGGCCACTGAAGCTCCTCTGGAAGGTGACTCACCCTCTTGGGACTAGCCTGCCTTGATGGAAGTGGGGCTGGGGCGCAGCCATGTCAGGTTGGCCTCGGGCAGCGATAGAAGCCAGGCCTGCTTCACCAGGCCATAGGTTCCCTGGATCCGGGAACCACTGGGCACGTCTTCCCCTTGACCTGGGAGGTGGACTCAGCAGGATTGTGTGGGAGACAGGTGCTGACTTCACTCTTTAGACCTATCCCCTGTCCTTCAAGGGTTGTGGGTGTAACTTCATCTAGGCTTAGCGTCAGATGGGTCATAAACAGTGGCCTGTTGTGGGCTGACTATGTGACCTCTGTGTACATCGTAGTCCATGTCCTAAAGTGGAAGTGAGGAGTTGTGTCTAGAAGGCCTGGGGAGTGGCTCACACAAGTCTGGCCACAGTGGGCCCACTGTGTGGCACTTACTGGCATTAGTAACAGCAGTCCTAAGGCTGCTGCCCACTAAAGACTCTGGGAGGGACCCAGAGAACTGGGGAACCTAACAGCTCCTGCTTCTACAGCAACATTTCCTGTGCTGACTCAGTTTCCATCTTCAGAATGGGCTGGAGAACTGGTGGAGAACTTGGGGGTCCACTCCTCTGACCTCTGGGAAGAGGAGCCCGCTTGTCAGCCCTGCTCAGGGAGGGCTCCCCCTGCCCTTCCTCCTGGAGAGCTCAGAGCCCTCCCCACCTCGCTCCCCCAGTTCTCAGGGACTCTTCTTCCCGGAGGTCCTGAATCTCCCAACCTGAGGCTCTCTCTGACCTCGGACTCCTTTTTCTCTTCCAGGAAGAGTGATGGACAGAAACAGTGCTTCCCTCAGGCACTAGACCTGCTACTAGTGGACTCGGTTCCCTCCCACCCTGCCTCACCTTATCCTAAGGTAAGTGACCCCAACCTATGGCCCTGGTCTGTGCCCCGCCATGCCAGGGCTGGGAGATACCTAAACGTGGCTATTGGGAAGATGTCAAATATTCGGTCGATGCCCCAAAAGGACACCATTCCTGACCGTTGGGTGGCTTGTGTGGTCTCAGAGATTGAACCAGTGTCTACAGAAGTGTTAGCAGTGGGACGTAGGGATAAACTATTAAGCAGCAGCTCCTTTGCCTTCTCTCCGTTATCATCATGGCCACAGCTGCCCCCACTATGGGCCAGATGTGTTAATAGTCGCAGACCGCACGCATCAGGATTGGATAAAAGGCATCTCTCCCACAGCCTGGGCTGTCTCTGGCTCCAAGCCCTGTGGTGAAGACTCATTTGTTGCTCTCATCAACAACTAAGGTTTGCCTGGTACCTGCTTATACCAAACTTAAAGATTCCTGGCAGGCCAGGACACGGCCCCTACCCCCAGAAGCCATGCCCTGGCCAGAAGATGAGTGACTGAATGGTGTCTGCACAGTGTCAGGGGCCAGGGGCAGCTGGTGTTTCAGGGGATTTGGTCAGTGCTGCATAGTACTTAGTGTCTTGCCTATAGCGTCTTCTGTCTCTCAGCTCTGTCCACTCCACTGCAGCCACGGCCATCCAAATCCAAGCTCAGTGATATTGTTATTCGCATAAAGGGATGCAGGCTGGATGCTGTGGGGCCAGGACCAGCTGATGCTTTTTGGCCAGCATGTGGCTCATGGACTCTCCAGTACTGAGGCAGGGTGTTCTGCAGTGACTAAAGCCTGCCTACAGCCACCTTGCCCTTTGCCCTTTCATCAACCTCAGGCAGGAAAACTGCTCTCAACTGGGATCTAAATGCTCAGAGATGTGAAGTCATCTTCCCCAGGGTTGCACAGCCAGGAAGGCTCTGCGAGGAACATCCTCCAGAGCTCTAGAATAAGGATTGACACCTTTCCTAGGCCAAGAGGACAAAGGACCAAGGAGTGTTATCTATGTATAGGACTGCTATCTCCATGGAAACCCCAAGGAGCGTGCTTTAAGTCACATACAGGCCTCCTGGGATCTTCCCCTGCCTTCCCAGGCAGGGTCAAAAGCGTCCTCAGGAAACAGAGACTTGATGGCAGCCACTTGCTCAAGCAGCTGGGTTTGTGAGTGAAGTCTTCCCAGGCTCTGGACTGTTACTTGTCCTCTCTGGGCTTTGGTCTTTTCATCTAGGAAGGGAGGTGGGTATAGCACATCCTTGGAGCCTTGTACCTCAGACGGCCCAAGGTGGGTCCTTCTGATTACCATGGATGACCCTTCAGCCTCCTGGCCTCCACTCAGCTGGCTACCACTTTCCAATTGTGCTAACACACCTCAGTGAGTTTCTGACCACTCCGTTCCCACAGTCCACTGCTCCTCCAAATTAGGACCCATTCTGTGAACAGTTGTCCCTTTCGAGGGCTGGACATCAACTCCCAGACACTGAGCGACTCCTCTGTGGTTTCCAGCAGGCTCCTGGCTCCAAGCCTGCGCTACCCTCCAGTTTTCCTCAGCACCCTTTATCGGTACATATTTATCAAGATACTGGAACCAGTCTGGGGGGCACATGACCTCCCTGTGCATAAGGACAAGTTCCGCCTATAACACAGAGTGGACAATGTCTTCTCTATCAACCTTGCCAGCTCGCCACTGGGCAATGCCCGTGAAGTGTTGGGAATAATCAGTCTGCCTGCGTTCTCAGGGCTGGGCAGGGGAATTCTCTTCTCTTTGGTGAGCCACACTTGAATAGACTCTAGCTGCCCTCTGCAGGACTCAGGGACTATAGAATCTACATACAAGTGCACAAGTCCTATACCTAGACACTGGGGGCCTGGCCACAGACAGACAGACACAAGCACATATCTATAGCGTATTCAGACTTGCACATGAACACATGAAGGAGATGGACAGTAAACATCCCTACCCATCCCTTCCAACCCACCCCCCCACACTTCTATTCTACAGAAATGCAGTATGTCACACACAGTCACAAGTAGCCTTGGAGCTGCACACGTACACACTGGAAGCGTGCATAGCATCCACTCTACCTGGCCTACATATCGCTGGTGATATGAGCAGGCTTGGCCTCCCCCAGGGCCAGTGTGGGAAAGGATGTTCCTCTGGCTGCATTGTGATGGGTGCCCGGAAGTGTGCAGGTCTGGAAGTGGTTGCATAAATCAATATTTGCTGCTGTTAATTATTAAAGCCAAAGCTACTTGGTGTCTGGAATGCACATCTCTGGCGTTCCCGCTGGCTCTCTGGGCCCGAGCCTGACCTGGGGCCAGGTCTGGGAGGGAAAGGAAAGTGCTGCCTGCCTTCCTCGCAGAGGCTCCCTGGCCCTGGGGACAGAGGGTAGTGGGCAGTGCTTCTGGGAAGTTGCAAGAGGTCTGGCCCCCCGAGCTGGAGGACAGCCCTACCCCTGCAGCACCCAGGATTCTCCAGCCTCTGTCTGGAGAGTGGGTGCTATGGCTGGGGGCCTGTCCACACTGCACAGTGGCTACACCAGCCCAAGACACAAGGACAGTAGTGTCAGATGGGAGGACTTCAGAGGCCTTGTACTTTAGATGGAGAATTGGGTCAACAGAGGTGCCAGAGACTCCCTTATGCACTCTGAAGTTGTAGCAAGGCCAGAGCTAGACCCTGAGGAACCTAAACTATAGAATACCGGTCCTAAAGTTCGCATGTGCCTTTCTCTCCACTCCAGGCTTTCCCCCAGGGTTGGGCAGGGTGCTGAGGTGGAGAAGAGGTGAGGAGGAGGCCGCTCCACGCTCTTCTAGGGTTTTCCTAGTGGTGTGATCTCGGATAAGCTATTGCACCTCTTGGAATACGGTTTTCTTGTCAGTCTAATAAAGATAGCCAAGTACCTCCTTGGCTGTGGCAAGACGGTGAGACACGCAGAAGGGTCCAGCTAAGGAAGTGCTCAAGAAAATCACCGTCTCCAGGACTTTTGCATTCCCTGGGCACAGCTGTCCCAAGAACCCTGTCCTTGAAGCCCAGAGGCAGGCAGGGTCTCCAGCCTGGGAAGGCACAGCTGCTAATAGACGTGCCTAAGGCTTCCTGCGCGCAGGCGCAGTGTCCCAGGCCGCCGGGGGCGTGGCCTAGATGTCCCGCCCCCACCCGCGCCTCCCGCACCTGGCGCCCCGCCCCCTCGGGCCCGGCCGCCGGGCGAGCCCAGAGAAGGCAGAGCGGCGGCGGGACGGGAGCTCGGAGCTCCGGCTACGGGGCCCGGGGCCGGGCCGGCTTGCGGAGCCGCCGGGTCTGGGGCTCGGGATGGCGCAGCCGCGGCCCCCAGCACCCCAGGGCCGTCCGCGAAGGGGCTCGCTGCCGGCTGTGGCCGGCTGGCAGGTGAGGACGTTGGCAGGGGCGGCCTGGCCGACGGGGGACCCTAGGGCCACCACTCAGCTCAACTACCCCGAGTCCGGCAAGCTGTGCCCGAGCCCCATCACGGTGGATGTGTGCACTTTTGGACTGACACCCGGACCACACGGAGCACCCCAGTCCCACGGGCAGTTTTCCACAGCTGCCCGTGGGACAGACGTGAGGACACTGGCCGTTGGGCTGCAGTGGCATTGGGTGTGTGTATGTGACTGCTGCTGGGACTACCCGCTGCCTTTCCTACACGGATGGGGTACAGATGTCACAGGGTGACTTTGTGGTGGCTTTTCCCCAGGTGGGATGCCCCGGCTTCTGGCCACACCACTCTAGCCTTCCTTTGCCATGTGTCAGGGCGTCTGCTGCTGCCTGTGGGGCTGTAACTGTGGGTGTTACTTGTTGCTGTGTGTGTACACTCTGGGTGACAGTACCATGTGTCAGTGTTTATGTAGTTGTGATTCCGGTGCAGCAGTGTGTGATGTTTCATTGTGCCTGGATGTTTGGTCACCTTCAGTGGGCCCCCTTCCCTCCTCAGCCCATTGCTGGGTGTCTTTGGAAGGGGTAGGGGTCAGAGGCTGTCTGGCTGCCCCGAACAGATGGAGGCAGTGTTGTCAAACAGTCGAGTTGACAGGTGTGTTTGTCTTCCGGGACTTTAGGTGTGTGTCTGTGCTGTCTGCCAAAGTGCCAGTGGGATCCGTTCTTCCAAACTCAGAGGTGTTGGGTGTGGCCACAGGTGACCATGGCCCAGGGGCTCCTGGGTACTGCTGAAGTGGACTTTACAGGCTGGGTCTTGCTCTGTAGGCAGGCTTCAGACCGTGCGCATGAGGGCTTAGGTTCCATGATCTTCTCGATGCGCATGTGTGGTGTTGGGTGGCTGTACTCAGGACCCCGTGGAGCCTAACAACGCTGGCAGTTGCCCGATTCCTCTTCCTTTCCTCAGAACTCTTGTCTGCAGTGTCGGATGCCGTCTTGGGTCTCTTGTGCAGCATGCCTCGATCCTGGCAATGATGCCTGGGATTCTGTGTCTGTTTCCCTGAGCACCTAGCTGTCCCTGCCCATGCCAGTGTGTCTCCTGGTCTCAGCCAGGAGAGAATGACTGTGTTTGCATGTGCAGTGACTGGGGTGCAGGCTGCACAGGTGTGGGTTTGCATATGTGTGAATCTCAGGTACGTGGACCTGAGTGTGTGTTGTGTGTAACTCAGGACAACAACATGCGTATATGTGTGTTAGGCTATGTCTTTAAGAATTACTCTGCATAGGTGCCATGTGGACCCCTGTGTGTGTGTTTCTTGATACACAAAAGGTATGCCTGGTGCAGTGAAACTGTCCAAATCATGGTGTGCAGGCCTGTGTGTGTCCCACAGACAGAGTGTGTGTTTCCTGGTACACAACCTTAGCACATGTGTGTGAGCTCAGATGGCTCCACCTGGGCAGTAGGAACTGCTCGAGTTGAACCTTGGAAGGGTTGGGGGGAAGGCTGCCCTGGAGACTCTAGGGGCTTCCCAGGCCTGGCCCCCAATCTGCCAGCCTCCATCCGGTAGGGATGCCGCCTTCCAGGAAGACTCAGAAGGGAGTTGGCGTTGAAGAGGCCCATGCTGCCAAGCAGCTGCCAGACGCTGCATTAACCCTCTGTGTGTCCTGATTCGCCTTGGACAGGCTGGCTTGTGCATGTGGGGTGCATGTGGGCTCATGCACAGGTGAAGGACCGATGGCAGGCTAACCTCTCCCCAAAGTGTCCCCAGCACACTGCTTGTGTTAAGGGCTGTCTGGCCTGGGCATTGGTAAACTGGCTCTTCCTGAGTGCTGGTGAACCACAGACCCTCCCTCCATACCTGATGCCTGGTGGGTCTTGGCACTCGGGCTGAGTCCTGGGGGCTCTCAGGGGTCCATATGCCAATCCTGGGAATGATATCTTTGTATTGGCAGAGGGGAAGATGTCTCTTCTCCTGAAGTAACTTCCTCCTCCTTTAGGAAAGCAGACTGAGTAGGGTGTCTGCCAGAGACCCAGGACCTAAGTTCTAGGCTCCCCTCACTAGGTGACCCAACTAGCCAAACTCTGGGGGGGTTAGCCTTACAGAGCCCCTCCCACAAAGTCCTGGTCACTCCCTCTGGCACCTGATGAGAGGACCAGGCAAGCTGAGGTGGCTGGAGCCTGTTCCAGGCTTGGTAGCATCAGCTGGGCTTCCCTCAGGATTGACCTCACTCTCCCATCTCTGTTCCAGAACACAGATCTGTTTGAGATGATTGAAAAGATGCAGGTAAGAATGGGCCAGGGAGCCTCAGAGCTGGCTGGGCTAAAGGTGGCGATCCCCTGCCTGCCTCCTCTCTGTGAACTCATCCAGGGTCCCAGCTCCCATCCCTTCCTGGGTCCCCAGCAAGTCATCCCCACATGTACATACCAACCTAGCTCATCAGAGTCCTGGGAGGCTCCTGTGCAGTGACCCCATGCAGGATGGAGGAGGGGATAGATGCGCAGATGCAGGTGGGGGAGGCATTAGTGAGCCAGGCAGCCTGGGGTGCAGCCCTGCCCCTTGCTTCACCCCTGCTCACCCTCCACCTCCCAGCTCTGCTCTGTCTGTGGCATGGGTGAGTGTCTGGACGGGGACAAAGGGTAACAGGGTAGGGTGAGAGGTGACTTGAAGAAAGCTCAGGAGCCTCCTTCACATCTCTGGCTTGCCTCCCATCCCTCCAGTTTCTTTGCCTTTTCCTCTTCCCTCTCTTCCTCCTCCCCCTCCATCTCCTTCCCCTCCAAGGATCTCCTGATGCATGCACTAGCCCCTCCCTACAAACAACACACACACACACACACACACACACACACACACACACACACACCCCACATGCCTGCGTACACTTCCCTGCCCCCACTCCCAGCAGCACGTGCGTTCCTGCACAGAGCCCCCAGCTCCTCTTGCTGCTGTACCTCCCTCAGCTCATCACCGTGGGGATGCCAGAGGCTTGAGGAACGATCTGGCCAACACCCCATTCTGCAAGTGCCCCTACATACATGGGCATCTCTCTCAGGGCTTTCTCTTCAGTCCAGGGAGGGCTCCCGGTGGCAGGCATGGCAGAAGGGTAACAGTATACCTTCTCTTGCAGGGAAGCAGGATGGATGAACAGCGATGCTCCTTCCCACCGCCTCTCAAAGTAGGTGGACCAGACTCTGGGCCATTCACCCTACTGGGCTGGGTAGGGTCCAGGAAGAGTGTCCCAGTTGCCACTGTGTGTCAGTATTGGTGAGCAGGGTACCTGGCCCTGAGAATTCAGCAGCTTGTAGAGCCTTTTCCCCGACCCAGGCAAGAGCTTTCAAGCCAGCCCTTGCTGCCCTCCTGCACCACCAAAGGCACTTGCCCCTCCAGGCCACCTCATACCAAAGCTGAGGCCTTGGTTGTGGCAAAGATGGTTGCTGTCACATGGTTGTGTTTCCTTATTGGCCTGTGAGCCCCCGCCCCACTCCGCCCAGATCCTCAGATAGGCATGTACCTCCATTGATTCGAGACTCCCCTAGAGGATGTGGCTGGACCCAGGGGAAGGTTCCAGGGCTGCAGGCACGTGCAGAGCTGTAAGCCTGAAGCTTCATTCGGGGCTGGGGTCTCAGAGCTGTCCTTAGACGGATGCCACCAGGTGCTTGGTGGGGATTTCACTTCTAAGGTCCTGCTTGGAGTGTTGTCTCTGTCTGTCCCGGCTTTCCTCAGGGGAGGCAGGGAACCTCCCTTGTCCCTGGCTTTGGAAGATATCAGACTCAGGGAGCCTCTGAACAAGCGTGTGTGTGTGTGTGTGTGTGTGTGTGTGTGTGTGTGTGTGTGTGTGTCAAGGGTGAAGCCCCACCTCAGCTGGTCCTTGGCTTGTTTGTATTTTGCAGACGGAAGAGGACTACATTCCCTACCCAAGTGTCCATGAGGTACCAGCCTCAGCCCCACACCCGCCCTTACCATGACCCTGGGAGGCCCTCATGCAGGCCTGTCCCATGGAGACTCACTTTCCAGTCCTGACAGTTGTGAGGTTATTTGAATCCGAGGCCTCTCGGCCACGTGTTTCAGCCCATGGCCCTGGGCCACACTCTCTTTCACCCTCTCCCCATCTTTTTTTTTTTTTTTTTAAAATTAAAAATCCCCTCTCCCCATCTTTTGCATAGTGCTGAGAGGTAAGGAGCCAAGCAGGTTCCCCAGGGGGTGGATGAGAGCCTTGGGTTTCATAGCCCTGGACTGTCCCATAGTACCTGGTAGTCCTGGGACTGAGTTGGGGGTTGCCTTGGGGCCCTTAGTGGGTGCCATGTGGAGTAGCTCTCAGCCGAGTCCCCCTCTAGGTTCTGGGGCGAGAAGGGCCCTTCCCCCTCATCCTGCTGCCCCAGTTTGGGGGCTACTGGATTGAAGGCACCAACCATGAAATCACCAGCATCCCTGAGACAGAGCCACTGCAGTCTCCCACCACCAAGATCAAGCTGGAGTGCAACCCCACAGCACGCATCTACCGGAAGCACTTTCTGGGCAAGGTGAGTGGCTGGCTAGGGTGGGAGGCGGGGCCCCACAGGAAGTGGCGTTAGGCTGAAGCTGGGTCAGTATTCCGGAATTCTGAGTCTCAGGGAGCATCATGTGGATTAATTCATTCACTCGACAAATGTTGCAAAAGGCAGACAGGCATAGTTGTGAGGAGAAGAGACCCCATCATGGTTTGTGCCTTAGCTAGGTTACCTACTGTGTGCCTCAGTTTCCCCATCTGCAAAAATGGCAATTGTGACATCTGTCTCATGTGGTTGCTGGGAAGCCTTAATGAGGAGATTCCAGTAGGGGGTTTTGAATGGCATCTCAAACCAAGCAAGTGCTTTTCAACATGAGCAAATTATGAGCACCAGCTGTGTACCTGGTCTCTGAGCACCAGTTGTATACCTGGTCTTGCACTGAGCACTAGATATGGAAAACAAAATTGAACCAGACTTGGCCCTCAGCAGCCAGGGCGAGTGGCTGGGAAGACACAGGAGTGTCATAGTTTGACTTGGACTGGTGTCATCACAGCCTCAGAGCCAGGGACTCTGCCCGGTAACTGCTCCGTAGACTGACCCACAGTGACACTCTGCTGAGTAGTTACTGAGCAAGGTGATAACTCTCCATAGTTATCAGGTGTGCACTGGGTATGGCGATTATATGCCTGTAATCGCCAGCACTTGGGAATCTGAGGCAGGAGGATTACCACAAGTTCAAGGCCTACCCTGGCCACAGAGCAAGATCTTGTCTCAACAGAAATGAAAAGAAAGAAGTTACTGGGTGGGAGCTGAGAACCCCTGTGCTGGGATCCTAGATACCACACCAGGTGCTGTCAGGAGAATTGTGCTGTGTGCTCAAGGGCCTCAGGGCTCTTACCTTCTCTTTCTTTCTTCCTTCTATTGATCTGGTCGTGTTATCTTGGGTGTTTTATTTGATCTTCTTATTTAACTGCTTCCTTATCTGTAAAAATGGGGGTAAGACAAGTGCATGTGAAGCATATAATAAACATGTGGTTGTTGGTAGCTGCCACCACACCTGTCTGCTCCCTCTGTGAGAGCAAGACTCTCCCATTCTTGCGGAAGAGGAAGCGGAAACTCAGGTGAGGTGACTTGGTCTAGATCAGTGTGTGTGTGTGTGTGTGTATGTGTGTGTGTGTGTGTGTGTGTGTGTGTGTGTGTGTGTGTGTGTGTGCACAGAATGGAAGAAGGGGTACCCTTGCAGGATTAGGAAAATATGTGGCCTCAGTGTGGCCCCAGAGCACCAGGCTGCTTCTAGGAAATCCTGGTGCTGTCTGGTTGAAGGTGGGGCGGGCCATCACTGTGTGGTGACTAATCCAGCCAGCCTTTGCCTGGGGACAGACCCAGAGCATAGCACTTGAGTCTACCCCCTGGCTGGGCCTGGGCTGGAGGGAGGGAGACCTTCATTCCAGGTGCCCACTGTCCAGTACTCTCAGCTGTGTCTAGGAGTCAGGGATTGTGAGCCTGGCATGTAGTTGGCACTCTAAAGTTTACTAAAGGAGTCCCAGTGCCGAGCGGGGGTGGGGGGGTGTCTTCCACACAGCAGATACTAAGGTACAGGTGGGGTCTGTGGTGACCAGGGTCAGGTCAGCAGGACAGAGGGGAGGTGGTGGGGTGGCTAGGGAAGAGGCAGTGTCTAGCACAGGACCACATGTTGGTAAGAGGCAGTCAGGGTGGCCTTAGGAACCGATTTCCTGAGACCATGATCCCACCTTCCACTGTGTCTCTAGGGCTTCTCTGGCCTTGTGGGGAACTCCCAGCCCCTGGACTTCCTGGACAAGTACCTGTCACTCATCTGTGGACAGTGTTAGGCATTTTGGGGTTTTCTCCAACCCTGTGCCTAGGCTGGGGTTCAGGGGGGCTCTGGTCTAGGTCCATTCATTGGACCTAGTTCAGGGGAGCTGCAAATTTGAGGGCACACCCCCTAGCCCTGCCTCTCTCTCCACCCTGCCTCCAAATGCAATGTTCATGTTTAAACAAGATTCATTTCCAGAATGATTCTCAGGGCGGGTGTGGCTGAACAGTTCCACTCCCAGGCCCAAGCCAGCAGGGGGAGCCCAGGGCCAGGCTGGGGCTGCAGTACCTCACTTCTGGGCTTAGGAATTCCCCCCCCCAAGGTTCCCCCAAAGGCCTGGGTTCCCATAGGAGGGGTGCCGTTCCTGTCATAGGCGTCCCCTCTTCTCTCGGTGAGGAGAGCAGGAACCTGCCTGGTTAGTTAGGATGCGTCACTTCCTGCTTCTCACGGGCCTTGGCTTCAGGGGCCACGGAGCCACAGGTTGGGCAATCAGCTGTTCGGCTTCTTTTCCTTCTAGTGCCTGGCACATGCTAGTGGCCCCTAAACCTCCCTCCCTCCCCACTCCCTCCATTCTGTGGAGGTCAGAAGAGGGCGCTGGATCCCCTGACCCTAGAGTTACAGGCAGGTGTGAGCCACCTGACATGGCTTCTGGGAACAGACCTCAGGTCCTCTCTACAAGAGCAGTCCATGCTCTTAACTACTGAGCCATCCAGCCCCATCCTAGCATTCTTCTTTCTGGAGGCTGACCTTGAACTCCGGATCGCCTGTCTCAGCCTTCCTAGGCTGGAATGCCAGGTGTTCACTACCACGCCTGTCTAGTTGGCTTTTCTTTTCTTTTCTTTTCCTTTCTTCCTTTCTTTTTTTCTTTCCTTCTTCTTCTTCTTCTTCTTCTTCTTCTTCTTCTTCTTCTTCTTCTTCTTCTTCTTCTTCTTCTTCTTCTTCTTCTTCTCCTTCTCCTTCTCCCTTCTCCTTCTCCTTCTCCTCCTTCTCTCTCTCTCTCTCTCTCTCTCTCTCTCTCTCTCTCTCTCTCTCTCTCTCTCTCTCTCTCTTTCTCTCTCCCTTTCTTTTTTTGTTTCTTGAGACAGGGTTTCTTTGTATAGCCTTGGCTGTCCTGGAACTCACTCTGTAGACCAGGCTGGCCTTGAACTCACAGTGATGCTCCTGCCTTTGCCTCCCCAGTGTTGGGATTAAGGCATGTGCCACCACCCTAGCTAGTTGGCTTTTCTTATTGAGCGATAGCTGGGTACTTAGGGACTGGGGTATACGTGCATACACATACATATACACACAGACACACAGATATGCATGTGGCTCTGACTTTAATAAGGAGCCAGAGACAAAGTTCCAACAGGCATTGTTACCATGGTGCCAGGCCCTTTACCTCACTCCCCTGCCCCGTCCAGGTGGCCTCCCTCCCATCTAATAGAATAGGAAAGGGAGGCATGGAGAAGCAGGTGTGCTCCTCAGGCTGCCCAGCTGCTAAGGGGCGGATCCATCTGATGCAGAGTCCGCTGTTGCCCACGGCATCTGCTGCTTGGTGATAGACATCAGCCGGGATGGAGTTGGCTGTCTTGCTTCCAGAAGCCAAACGCTCAGCTCCCTCACTTCCTCTGCCCCTCCCACCACAGGAACACTTCAATTACTATTCTTTGGACACTGCTCTTGGCCACCTGGTCTTCTCACTCAAGTACGATGTCATCGGGGATCAAGAGCATCTGAGGCTACTGCTTAGGTAAGGCAGTCAAAGGGGGAACCCCAAGACAGTAGAGAGGACTGAGGTCCAGAATTCAAGTGCACAGTTCCCTGTACCTGCCCTCCTGATGGAGGCCCAGAGAGGAGCAAGAATTTGCCTGAGGTCACCCAGCAAGGTAGTACCTTAGCCAGGCTTGGTGCCCTGCTGTCCCCTTTGGTCCCCCTGAGGTCTTCCCACCGTTGGGTCTCTCACCTGCCAGCTTTCTCCCCAGGACTAAGTGTCGGACCTACCATGATGTCATCCCCATCTCCTGTCTCACCGAGTTTCCCAATGTGGTCCAGATGGCAAAGGTGAGGCCATGAGCACCCTGGGTCTGGCACTTCTGGGATCCCTGGGCCTGCATAGGGCAGCTGCTTCTATGGGCAGCCTCTTACCTGATCCCACCCAGTGTGCATGCTGCCCTGTGTTGTCCTGGGGACCTGCACATGTGCTTCTCTCTTTACAGCACCCACAGATCCCAGGTGGCCCCAGTTCTCTCAGCCCCAGCAGTGGGTCCCCAGTCTGTCACTAGCCTCTGTTGCTTCAGACCGGCCCATCTCCCCTCCTTTCTTCCCTCGACTTGCTTACCAAGGCGCAGGCAGCCTCTCCCTTTCTCCTTGACCCCAGCTCAGACCCCCCTGTCATCTTTTGCAGCTGGTATGTGAAGATGTCAATGTGGATCGATTTTACCCTGTGCTCTACCCCAAGGTACCTACTCTGACTTGTTCACCAGGGTGGGTGGCAGTGGGAGGAGTGAGCACCTGTTGGTACCCTTGGTGGCTGAGCATCTCCCCAGGGCCTCTTGTTTGCCCCTGACAACCTTACCTTGCCCACAGTGTGCAGTAGAAAACACAGGAGGGTTGTATGTTTACTTATGGATGCACAGCTGATAAGGGGCCTGCCTGGAGCCTTGCTCATGCCTAGAATATCTCAGTGCTGCCTGGAGAGCTTCATAGGATGCTCTGAGCTCTAGATTTCTTTCCCATGGGCCTTGCCTTCTAGGGGATATGGAGGGACATAATAGCACTGATGACCCCGTAAGTGCGTCCCTAACAGATGTCCTTACAGTCCCCATGCTGCTGGCTCCTGTGGCTGTGACAATGATGGAATAGATACAGTGGCTTCTGTCTTCTGAAGGATAGATGGGGCCCTGAAATGTCCTGGGGGGTCCTGGATGAACTTTTTCATCAGGCTGTAGTCCTGAAAGGTGAAGGAAGGGATCTCAGAAATCAAGTCCCACAACTTGGTTTCAGTGGGAGAAACAGGCTCGGAGTGAGGAGGGCCCACCTGCTCAAGGCCCCAAGGCAAGCTGGTTGGTCTTGGGGTGTTTAGGAGCACGAGGAAGTTTGCCAAAGTGTCAGGGAGTGAGCTGGGCATTGTGGAGTGGTTTGGGATGGCCTTGGCCATAAGAAGTTCATGGTAGAACTTAGAAATCCAACAGAATCAGAGCCAGGTCCCAGGCCTGTGCTGACTGGAGGCAAAACGTTGAAGGTTTCTGAAAGCAAGCAGCAGGGGAATGATGGAGTCTCCCTCTGACCTTGTTTTGAGGATGGCGTGGGGGGGGGGGGGCGGGGGGTAGAGCACAGTGGTGCTCCCAGGGAACACTTCGCCTTGCTCTCCATAGGCCTCCAGGCTCATTGTCACCTTTGATGAACATGTTATCAGCAATAACTTCAAGTTTGGAGTCATTTATCAGAAACTGGGGCAGGTGTGTTTGCCCACCCCCTCCCCTGGCCTGGCCCTGTGACCCACCCCACCTCGCCCTCAATGGTCACCTGCCAAAGCGTTTTCCAGTTTCCCAGGAGCTTGGGGACTGCCCATGGCCACTCTGGGAGAAAATGGGGCTGAGGGAGGGCCACTCAGGAGTTGCAGCTTTGTGACTTTGCCCCCATGTGGTCCCCAGACATCTGAAGAGGAACTCTTCAGCACCAATGAGGAAAGTCCCGCCTTTGTGGAGTTCCTTGAGTTTCTGGGCCAGAAAGTCAAATTGCAGGACTTCAAGGGGTAAGTCCCAGGGTCAGATGGATAGAGCAGATATGACCATGTTCCTGAGCAGGGAGGGAGCCCCATCCTGGCCCCCTGGAGGCCTGACTGGAGCTGGAGACTGAGTCGTGGCCTGGGGGCCCTGGGGACAGGTTCCGAGGAGGCCTGGACGTGACTCACGGGCAGACTGGGACCGAGTCCGTGTACTGCAACTTCCGCAACAAGGAGATCATGTTTCACGTGTCCACCAAGCTGCCATACACAGAAGGGGACGCCCAGCAGGTAGTCGGGCACCCATACCTGTGACCCCCATCCACTTGTCTGTTCATCATTCGTTATGCCAGCCTCAATGCTGGCTCTGTGATACAGATACGGAAATGACCCGTTCTCCCCAGGGCGGGCTGTAGGTGGAACAGGGGAGGTGGGAAAGCCCTGGCGTCTGCCTCTGTGGAGCAGTGGTGATAATGGCATCTACAAGGTAGAGACTTAGAGGAGAGGGAATGTGAACAGGGTAGATTATGCACAGCAGGAGCCCTGCCTGGGGGGACTTGTGTTTTGGTGAGGAACAAGGGGCATGCGTGGTGGGGTCCTGGGGGGGTCCCGAGACCCAGCAGAGCCAGGAGTTAGGAAGTGCTTTTAAGATAAAATGACAACAGGCTGCCAAGTTGCCAACAGAAGGAAGTGAGGAGTCCCATGAAGAAAAATAGGGAGTTCAGGCATGTTCTTAGACCTGACGTCCAAATTCAGTTTACCTTCTCTCAGCGTTCCCATCAGGCCATCTGCTTGACTCTACCCCCCAGCCCAGGGTGCTGAGAGGGTAATAATGATGGAGATGTATATTCTTGCTGGCTTTTTTCCTTGCCTTTCCGTTTTAGCAACACTAATGTCTTTGTTCAGTGATGGACCATGTTGGGGGTGTTGAGATAGGATTGAGATAGGGGAAGGGCTGAGGTGGGACCTGGGTTTGAGACCTAGGTTCAAGTCCCCAAGGGCATCGGGAGACCTTGGAATCACTTTCTCTCAGCTTCCATTTTCTCATCTGTCAGAGGTATCCAAGGAAACGGGAATAGTTTTAAGACAGGAAGCACACATCCCTAGATATGCTCTCTGCTTGCTCCATTCCCCCTCCAGCTCCCACACCCCCTGGGCACCCCTGTCCCACACCCTGCATGGCCAGGCTCTGAAGGCCTGTGGCCCTGTGCTCAGTTGCAGCGGAAACGGCATATTGGGAACGACATCGTCGCTGTGGTCTTCCAGGACGAGAACACGCCCTTTGTGCCGGACATGATTGCATCCAACTTTCTGCATGCCTACGTGGTGGTGCAGGCAGAGGGGGGCGGCCCCGATGGCCCCCTCTACAAGGTAGGTGAAACTGGGGCCGCCCAGGGCTCGTGGGCTGTGAGGAAGGAGGGCCCCTCCTTAGAGGGGCCACTTACCTCCCATTCTGGTCTGGTCTTATCCCACCTCCTCAGCCTTCACATCCTCATGAGGTCTCCCCTGCAGCCCCACCCTGCAGACTCAGGGCAGTGGCTGGATGAGCTGAAATTCTGGTTTAAAAGGTTCCCGCCCAGAGCAGCCCCAGAGCCTCCTGAACCCCATGGGACAGGAACTAATTTAGGGGTTTCTAGATGCTGTGAGCAGGGTGGGCCCTGGACCCCACAGAAGCAGCTTCCTCTCTTTCCAGGTCTCCGTCACTGCGAGAGATGATGTACCCTTCTTTGGGCCCCCCCTCCCGGATCCTGCTGTGTTCAGGAAGGTAGGAGGCAGCCCGGCTCCTCATCACCAGAGCAGGACTAAAGAGGGAGGGGGCAGCGGGGGCCACAGTCTTGCCTGAGAAGGACCCGAAGCCCTGCTCTGTACTGGGGATCTAGGTTCCCCCTCACCCTTCAGCTGTGCTGCCTCTCTTCATCTTGATAAATGCTGTGACTTTCTCTACAAGGCCACAGAGTAAACCGCAGGGCTGTTGGACATTTTCTAGATGACTGTGGTCTTTCAGTTCTCCTCTCTCTGAAGACTGTCCTCTAAAATGTGTTTTTTGGGGATGTGTGTGTGCACACATGTCCCTGTCGACCCCTCAGTAGCTACATGGCAAACCTTGGTTTGGTTCCTCCCTCCCCCTGCATGTTCTGCTGGGCCCTCCCAAGTTGGGGGTCCCTTGCAGGTGTCTAGCTAGAGAGCTGAGCCCAAGGAGGAGCCCTCTGGGAGTGAAGGTGGTCACTTCAGACCACAGTATGGCACAGCTCGGGAGCTCTAGCCGGACTCACTCAGCTCAGCCCCTGCCTGTAGTGTTCATCTGACCCCCCTTTCGTCTCCTCCACTCTGGGGGCTCCCAGGGGCCTGAGTTCCAGGAATTTCTGCTGACGAAGTTGATCAACGCTGAGTACGCTTGCTATAAAGCAGAGAAGTTTGCCAAACTGGAGGTAACGTGGACTGGAGGGATGGACACCCTCCCTGGAGGGAAAAGGCATGTTCAGACCTTGGCTTTGGGGGGCTGATGGGGGAGGACAGAGCTACAGGTCAAGTGAGAGGCAGCAGAGGGCAGTGTCCAGCATGGGGTGGAGGGGGCAGATGCCATGCAGGAGGAGCGAGGATTGGGGATGCCAGTGCAGGTACCTAAGGACCTCCCCATGCCTCGCCTAGGGTAGGTGAGGCCAGGATTGGAATTGCCAGGCCGAGGGTTGATCTCTGGGGTCTCTCATGGCCGACCCACAGGAGCGGACGCGAGCTGCCCTTCTGGAGACACTCTATGAGGAACTCCATATCCACAGCCAGTCTATGATGGGCCTGGGCGGCGACGATGATAAACTGGAGAATGGCAGTGGTGGGGGCGGTTTCTTCGAGTCTTTCAAGGTGAAGGCCCCAGGCTCCACGCTGGCAGGCTGGGGCTTGGGCGGGCTAGTGGAGGAGGAGTGGGACATGAGAGCTAGAGGCAGCTCCGGTGTGGAGGGGCCTGGGGAGGGTCTGAGGTGGGACTTATGGTTCTGTGAGGGAGGTGTGGCTAGAGATGGGATTAGGGCTGGTCTCCCAGTGTGAGTCCTGGGGATGTAGCTAGAGGTGGGGTCTGGCTGAGGGCTTCTATCTCTGCTTAGAAGTGTGACTAGGATTGAGGACAGAGCTTGGTGGACCTGCACCTTCAGGTGCTTTGAGATTTGGAGATGTGCTCTGTGCTTCGAGAAGAATATAAAGTGGGGCTCTCGTTTTGGGGTGGAGTTAATGACTGGCAGGGCTCAGGAGCGGGTCTACCTGGGAGTACCACCAAAGGTTGGAGTCCTCTAGATGGCAGCCAGGAGCCACTGTTGCCATGGGCTGTGGCTGTCATGTCTGAGGGCAGAAAAGAGAGGAGGAGGTCTATAAGAAACAGGCTCAGGAGGCAGAGGGACCTCGCCATGTGACCTCTTCTGGTACTTTGTGGTTTAGCTAAGAGCACCAAGTCCCTGTGTTTATATCTATGTTTTGCCGCTTACCAGTGTGGGCATCCTCCAAACCTCAATTTATCTGCTGAGTAGGGAAATGGGGGTCATGATAACTCACCATACAATATGTTTTTTAATTATTTGCTAAGCAGTTAGGTTAGCATAATGTGGATGTCAACTCCTGCCCCATCTACCAGAGCAAGGACAAACTAGAGCTGGGCAGTGGAGGGGGACTTCTGCCTCCCTTTGGATGGGGCCTGGACCCACCCAGCTGCAGGGCACTAAGCAGTGTTTGCTTTCCCTAGGCCACCAGTGGGAGGTGGCCTCACTTACTCAGGCTCAGCTACAGTGGGAACTGTGGGTTCATATAGGAGGATTAGTCCAGTGGCCCACAAAGGACACCAGCAAATTGGCCTAGAGAGCCCTGGCCGTCCCACCAGAGTCAGGGACCCATGGACCGAACATGGGTCTAGTGTTTTCTTTGAGCAGAATCTAGGGGATTCTCATCTGACTGGTGCCAAGCAGTGGCCCTGGATTCGGTCAAAGGATGCCTCCAAGGCACAGAGTCTATGGGGAAGGGCATAGGATTTATCCTTATGGGCCCCAGGCTCCCCTCTGCCTAGGTCTTCTCCTGGGTAAAGTGGGCATTAGACAGTCCCACCTTGTAGGGAGGCTTGTATGGCAGAGTCTGTACACACTGTCTGGCTCCCGAGGAAGCATTTGATCTAGCATGGTCTGGAAATGGACAGAAAGAGGGCGAAAGGACCCTAAGAGGGCCCCACAGGGCTCCTGATGAGCCTAGTCAGCCAGGTACCTGCTCTGTATTGCCTGTCGTGACATCCACGAGACCGTGTGCTGGTGAGACATCCAAAGCCCTCTGTATACCTGCCTCTTGTGTGGCACAGAGGGAAACTGATACATCACAAAGAGGCGGGGCTTCCTAGAGTTGCCCAGAGGGTGCCATTGGTGGGGAGGGACTAGATGCCTGTATTCCCGAGGTTTCCCGAAAGTAAGAGGCCCCCAGGAAGCCAATACCTCCTTTACGCCCACCCCTACCCCCGCAGAGGGTCATCCGGAGCCGGAGCCAGTCCATGGATGCCATGGGACTGAGCAACAAGAAACCTAACACCGTGTCTACTAGCCACAGTGGGAGCTTCACCCCCAACAACCCTGATCTGGCCAAGGCAGCTGGAATAGTGAGTGTCCCCCAATTTCCTCTGCCCCCCCCTGCCCCCTGCCCCTGGGCCCTTGGTTCTCCCTGCCTCCTGAGGCCTGGCCTTGCCTCTTCCCACTGCCCTGTTGTTCGTGTGCCCATGCTGGGCACTGGACTTGGTATAGACACTGCTCTCCATGGTCAAGTGCCCCAATCAGGATACTGGGATACTGTTCCCCATCCCCTTGGCCTTCTCCTCCTGGCCCTTTGTTTATTTGGGTGTGACTTTCTGCAGCCTCTGTGTCCCAGTCCTAACTGAACACCTGCTGTCTGTCATTTGTGTGCTGGGAACTGGGCTGCTGTGTAGGCATTTACTGTCAAGCCTTAGGTTTCTGGAAGCACCTCTGTTATGTCAGGCATCACTGTGTGTCAGGACCTGGGCTGCTGTGTGGAAAACACACTTTGTGAGCACCTACTGTGTTCCCAGCCCTGAGTTCTTGTGAGCACCTACTATGTGCCCCACCCTGGGCTGCTGTGTGAGCACCTACTGTGTGTCTGAAAATGGGCTGCTGTGTGGGCATCCACTTTGTAAGCACCTACTGTGTGCCCCAACCCTGGGCTGTTGCGTGAGCATCTACTGTGTATCAGGACTTGGGCTGCTGTGTGAATAAATGATGTGTGCTAAGCCCTGATTATGAGGGGACATCTGCTGTCTGTCAGAACATGTGTTGCTGTGTGGACATTGCTTGTGTGGCATTCTGTGTCTGCAGCAGCCAGGGCCTCAATGCCTGGGACTGCCTTTTGTGTGTCTGGAACTGGGCTTCTGTGTGGGCTTCTCTTGAGTGAACCCTTTCACGATGATTACTAATTGTCTGCCAGGCTCTACGGACATCTGCTCCCCACACTCAGTGAATTCTACAAACCTAAATTATGACTTAGTTGCTTGCGCCATCTAGTGGCCACCTCAGACACTGCTCCCATTGCTCTGCCCCTCCACCCCTACTTGCCCTCTCATACCTCCACCCACTAACTCACCCACACTTCCATCTACCCAGCCACCCACCTATGCATCTGTCCATTCATCTACCCATCGTACAATCCATCTACCCATCTGTCTACCTACCTGTCCATCTGTACATTCCATCCACCCACCCACTTACACATCCATCCATCCATCCACCCACCCACTTACACATCCATCCATCCATCCATCCATCCATCCATCCATCCACCCACCCACCCACTTACACATCCATCCATCCACCCACTTACACATCCATCCATCCACCCACTTACACATCCATCCATCCACCCACTTACACATCCATCAATCCACCCACTTACACATCCATCTATCCATCCATCCATCCACTTACACATCCATCCATCCATCCATCCATCCACCCACTTACACATCTACCCACCCATCCATCCATCCATCTATCCATCCATCCATCCATCCATCCATCCATCCATCTATCCATCCATCTACTCATCTGTCCACTTATCCATCATCCATCCATCTGTCCACCTACCCGGCCTCCCACCCTTCTCTTTCTGTCTGCTGCATGCCGAGCCCTGTGCTTCGTGCTGTGAGGCTGTCATGTGGCAGGAGTCTCCCCTCCCCGGCCCATCTCTCGTGTGGTCTGGTCTGGCCAGGGGAGCAAGGTGGGTCTCTGCTGTTCAGTGGTCGCCAAGTCCATTGTCATCTAGGAGCTGGCCCAACTTCTCCCCAACCCAGGTTCTCAGCCTCTCCCTTCCTGCCCGTGGAGTGGCCTGGCCTCCTGTGGGTGGCTGTGGAGGGGCCCCGGGTTAGGGCCAGGCCAGCAGCACCCGCCATGCAGTAACCAGACCCATTTCTGTTTTTGTTTTTGCACAATCTCCCTCTCTTCACATGGCTTCCTCTTCTTACTCCTCCTGTTCCCTCCTCCTCCTCTCCCTTCCCCATCCGTCATTCCTCCTCTTACCCTGTCCGCTTGCACCCCCTCCCATTCTTCCTGTCTCTCCCCCGCCCCACCGTGCCCCACTGTCCCCCCTACCCCTCGGTTTCTCTCTGCCCACGTGGTGTGCTCTTGCGGTACCCGCCTCCCACTGCCTCTTTGTTTCTCTCTCTCCCTCCTTCCCTCGTGTTCTCTCTCCCGCCACTCTGTACCTCTCTGCCCCACGCCAGTCATTGCTTATTCCCGGGAAAAGCGCGAGTAGATTCGGACGCCGGGGCAGCGCCTTAGGCATAGGAGCTGTGGAAGAGGTTGTCATCCCGTCCGGGGGCCGCGGCTCCGGAGCTGCCTGCACCTGCACGCGCTGCTCTCTGCTCGCTCTCAGGACGGAGGCCATATTGGGGACGTTGCCCCCCTTCCCAGGACAGGCCCAAGGGCGTGCAGGGCAGAGTGCCAGCCACAGCCCCGGTGATACTGGGACCTGGTCAGAGTCCCCAGGCCCTCACTAGGAGACTCTGGCCCCGGCCTGGCCCCTAGAACCCTGACTGGGTCCTTGCCGGGATCTGGTGCTCAAAGACCCTCTGCCCAGCTGCACGTCTCCCAATATTGCCGGTTCTGCATGAAGCGCCATCTCTCTCCTTCCCTGTGTCCCCTCCACACCCTGAGCTGCCTGCAGGTCCTGCCCTTCCCTTCATGCCTCCTCAGGGCCCACTTCCTACCTCCCATGCTTCTGATGCCGGGCATCCCGCCATAGTGTGTGTAGGGTTGTCCCTATTCGGGGGACAGCCTGAAGTCTGAGGGGGCAGATGCCCTGGTAGGGGCTGGGGTTGCCACTGCTTTCTCACTACTACTTTTAGGCTGCAGCTCTCATGAGGCCCAGGGGCAAAAGGCGGGGCCGTCTGAGGATTTGTCCTTCCTTCTGACCCTAGTGGCTGCCCCCTACCCTTCTTGGACTAAGGTCCAGCACAGCCATGCTGTGTGTTCTCCGGAGCAGCACTGGCCCTCTCTGGGTCTGCCCGTCTATCAGGCAGCCCTCCGGAAAGCACATTTTCTCTCCTTTCTTGCTCATCACCTGTTGGCTTCAGGGCGCGGTGGCAGGGCCCCAGTGGGAGGTGGGGGCCACTAGGGTTCCAAGGCAGGTAGGCACTGAGTCAGAGTCTCTCCCCACAGTCCCTGATTGTCCCTGGGAAGAGCCCCACAAGGAAGAAGTCTGGTCCATTCGGCTCCCGCCGCAGCAGTGCCATTGGCATTGAGAACATCCAGGAGGTGCAGGAGAAGAGGTGGGTGAGTGGGAGCCTGACCGGCCAGGGCATCCAGCACGCCTCCCGCCTTGACCTGCAGGGGCCGCCAGCGCATCTCCCACCCTGACTCACAGGGCACCCAGCCTGCTGCGCCCGCCCCCCTCCCTGCCCAGTGCCTGCCCTCTGCCGCATACCCTCCAGTGAGAGCTATCACCTAGGAGGAAATGCTCCACCTGACACTCAGTAGTTCCACTGGTTCCCTGGGGCCAGCACCTTTCAGATCAAGAAACAGCTTGCCAGTTCGTACAGCCAGCAAGGGCGGAGCAGAGAGAGGGGCTGGCGGCATCTGTGAACGCCTGTGGGCAAGGCTGAGCCCAGAAAGCAGACAAGAGGTCCTCACCCTATTTCAGCTGTGTAGCCTTGGACACGCCCCTGACTTCTCCGAGACTCATCAAGGCAAAGAGCAAGCAACAGGCAGCAACCTGGGGCTGTGGTGCAGGTTCCCTGTCGGGACCCGACGCAGTGGCCAGCAGCCTCACACCACCTGAACTCAGACTATAAATCCTGGGCTCAAGCCCTGGGGTGACCACGTCCTGGCTGGGCGTCCTTTAGGAGACCATCACATCCAGAGGAAGGGCCAGCTAGCCAAAAAGCCCATCTGAGGCTACACCATGCCCATGACCACTCCTCACGGCCTGGGCCTCATTCTACCCCACTGCCAGGCTCGGTGCTGAGTCCCCCCTGTGTGCCCCGCAGGGAGAGCCCTCCAGCTGGCCAGAAGACCCCAGACAGCGGGCACGTCTCACAGGAGCCCAAGTCAGAGAACTCTTCCACTCAGAGCTCCCCGGAGATGCCCACGACCAAGAACAGGTAGGGCTTCGGGTACCCTGGACTTAGGGAGAAAGCCTCCCATTCTGTCTGTTCTCTGACGCCCCATTGAGTGCCTTGTGAATGCTGTACCCCTCTGTACTCTGGAACACAGCTGCACGCTGTGTGTACATGGGGCCACAGAGCTGCAGGCCTGGAGAATAGAACTAACAAACCACATCTGCACAGAGAGCAGGGGAAGACAGCGGGGGTGCAAAGAGGAATGAGGTGTCCTTAGTAGGTCTTTAGACAGAGCTGAGGGAGGAACCTGCCCTGGTGGACCCGGTAGAGATAGGGTTCTGGGAGGGACCCCGCAAATGCAAAGGCCCTGAGGCATGCCTGATGGATAGGCACAGGCAGTTGGAGCAGACTGGGGGACTGGGCCCATGGGGTGGGGGTGGGAACAAGGTCAGAGGGGTGGGTGGAGGCCTGCTCATAGCTTTGGAGGCTCTGTGAGAGCTTTGAGTTTTACCTTAAATGGGATAAAAGCCCAGGAAGAGAGCCATGTTTTTAAACATGCTGTTGAGAGAGGCTGGTAAGTTGGCGGGACCAGAGGCCTGAGGAAGCTGCTGCTCTGTTGGGCTGGTCCCTGTTGGAGTAGGGTGTGGGGTGGAGGCCTAGGGGACTCCCCATGAGCTGGAGAGTCAGACTTCTGAACAGAGACAGAAAAGTGTGACAGGGACAAAATTGGGTTGTGGGATTTTTTGGCTAGGCGAGACTTTGGCCAGGAGACACAAAGGCCCTGTTCTACCTTGAGCTGAGTGACCTGAGGCTGAGTGCCGCCCTGCTTGGGCTTCCGTGTCTGTGAGATGGGTCCCATAATAACTGACTATCTCAGGGGACCAATGAATGTTTACTAGACTAAGCCATTTAGTGTCACAGTTGTTGAGCACCAAGCCAAAGCGATAAGACTTTCCCTGGGGCAGTGAGGAGCCACAAGAGGGCGTTGAGCATGGCGGGGCCCATCCAGATACATGCGACAGGAACAGCTTCGCTGGGAGTCCATGGAGGCTAAGAGGCCGGAGGAGCTGTAACGGCTGCTGGGCTGGCCCCAGGCTGGGCTTTGGGGAGTGGGGTGCAGCGCCTGTGGCTGCCTGCTGACGGCACTGTGTGGCAGAGTGGAGACGGCTGCCCAGAGAGCCGAAGTCCTGCAAGGCTTTTCCAGATCCTCATCCAGTGCCAGCAGCTTCGCCAGTGTGGTGGAGGAGACAGAAGGTGTAGACGGAGACGACACAGGCCTGGTGAGATGCCTGAACGGTTAGGGCCCCCACAGGGGTGGGATGGGGCCCCTCAGGCCTCCGGAGGTGCTTTGAGCAGAGGGATATCTGGCTGTGGCTGAGGTGTTGAGGGGGATGTCCCAGCTCATAGGAGATGCAGACAAATCTCAGCCAGGCTCCCCAGTGCTGTCCACAGAGACCCTTGAGGACCCAGGCGCTCCTCACGCCCTGTCTCATCTCTTCATGAGACACTCTGAGCTCCTCTGCAGTCCCTTAGTGTCACGAGCTGACCCCACCCTCAGGCCTTTGGATCCAACATTGTCATTTTTCCTACCCTTCTCCTTCCCCCTTGGCCAGGCCGACTCACACTCTCTCTCCCTGTGGCCTGGGCCTCCCCTTCAGGGCCTTGGCTGGTTTTCATCTAACATACTTCCAGTGGGTACCTGCTACTGGCCTGGCCTGTACCCTGGCAGACACAGGTCCTGCCCGCTGGCCTTCTAGAGTGGAGTTACAGGGTTCTTCACAGCCTGTTGGCCTCTGAGACTTCAAGCTCCCTGAGGTCAGGGACTGGGTCTCTTCTATCCCCGAGACCCGGACCAGGAGAACATATGCAGATGTGTGTTGAGTGAACAAGGGATGGGGGTGGGTGGGGGCTGTGGGCGGGGCTGACCTCCCCCCCTCCCTAGGAGAGCGTGTCGTCCTCAGGAACTCCCCATAAGCGGGACTCCTTCCTCTACAGCACATGGTTGGACGACAGTGTGAGCACTACGAGTGGGGGCAGCTCCCCAGGTACGAGGAGAGCTGCGCTGGGTGGGAGCGGGCCGGGCACAGACAGCAGGGGCTGGTCCACACTCCAGAGCATGGGGATGGGGTGGGGCAGCCTCTTAGGTGGGGCAGTGGTCCAGGGTACGTGGACGGGTCTCACAGGACAATAAAGCGTAGCTGGGAGGTGAGTTAAGAGTGAGGTTACCCAAGGGAGGAACTTGGCAGGGTTGGGGAACCCCAATACCAACCACCCATCCATGCCTGCGTCTCCTTGGTGCCTCCTCTTGGCCAGTGAGGTGGCTCCCTCCTGCCCCCTTTCCCAGGCCTCACGCGGTCACCCCACCCAGACGCCGGCAAGTCGGGGGACCCTGCGTGTCCCGAGATCAAGATCCAACTGGAAGCATCTGAGCAGCACACACCCCAGATGGTATGAGGGACCCCTCCTGGAACAGGGTAGAGCTGGCTGGGGACAGGGATCCAGGGAGACCCCGATGGCTGGATGCTCCTCTAGGCCAGGAGGACTTGGGCTCATCCAGTGACTTCTGGTTCCCTGTGTCTCCTGCCCCCACCTCTGGCTGCATCTGTCCCCACAGGGTTGCTAGCTGCCACCTCATCAGAAGGCAGGACTGAGCAGGTCAGTCAGTACTTACCTGATCCTATGGGGTGGAGGAGGGGAATGCCCCTGGTGGCTGGGGACCTGGGCTGGTCTTGGTGCCTCGTGGCCTCAGTTTCCCTATATGTACAGTGGGGCTCAGAGGGCCACCTCACCTCTGCCTATGAGTTGTTGGGGAGCTTGATAGAGCCAAAAGGAACTGGGCAATCATGGACCGTGGGGAAGGCTGGGGATGCCCATGGGATGGAAGGAGCCCATGCCTGACCTTCCCAAGCTGTCCTCCTCTTCCTCTGAGCTTATCTCCCTTTCCCTGCAGATGAGGCCTCAGAAGCACAAGGAGAAGATGCTGCACCACATCCAGGCAGCTGGCCCTCTGCCCCACAGCCACCCCAGCCCCTGGTACCCCTGCCTCCAACCCCCCTGGCCCACCCATCTGGGCTGTCTCCGCAGGGCGGAGCCATCCAGAGCTGGGGGTGGATGCTGCTGGCATCACCCTCCCCACCCCGGGGTGGGGCTCTGGGTGTGGGCAGGGACTGTGGCCCTGGCTTGCCCCCACCTGGGCCTCTGTCCCCTGGGTTCCCCTCTGGAGTCACGGGGAACAGAGTAGGAGGAGAAGGAACAGTGTGTGCACACACTCCACTGTAGAAGCAGCAGGTGCAAGGTGTACAGAGTGAGCACTGAGCAGGGAGTCCTTGGGGGCTTCTGCTGTGGGACCTTGGGCAAGGCACTCCTCTTCCCTGGGCATCTCTGCTGCACGTGGACAAGATTATTTCAGAGGTCACTGAAGACTGAGTCCATGCACCTGTCCCAGAAGGGGGCCATTGTCCTCCTGGGGACCTCCTCTCACACTGACTGCTCTCTGAGGCCCCAGGTGGGGCTAAGGGGCTGGGGCTGTTGTACCTGTCACCCTACCTGAGCCCCCAGCTTTACCACAGACCTGCCAACATCCTTTCACTGCCTCCACACGATGGCCGACTATCCCCCGTTGGGAAGAGGGGCCTCCCTGGCTCCTCATCCGGCACCCAGCTTAACCCTGCCACCCCAGGCTCCTGGGCATTCTGGGCTGAGGGGTCTCAGCTGGTCTGGAGTCCAGGCCATCCCCCTGCCCACCACGGCTGTGGAGGGGGCTGCCAGGCATAGCTGCTGTGAGCCATGTCCTTGTGTGTACCTGTTCACTCTTAGGAGCCATGCCCAAGTCGAGACTTCCAGCCCCAACACCCACTTTGGAAGCCCTGTGGCTGTATGTATGTCGTAAGGGTTGTACAAAATAAATTCTATTTATCGCTATTGTCCTGAGAGTTGAGCCTGGCTTTGTGTAAACCCTGACTAGACACACTCCAGATAAATGCCCAGAGGACCCAAGGTGGAGGGAAGGAGCTGGTCCCCTCCAGTGCTGCTGAGTCTGGGGGCACCTCCAAGGCCAGGAGGCCGCAGGGTCTGTGAACACTAGCTGAGGCCTCCTCTCCATGGCCCCACTCTTCCCCCCACCTTGTGCCCTTCCCCATGGAGGAAAAGTGTGGCTCTGGAGTCAGCCCTGGTACTGTCTCTCCTTAGCTTGGTGGTAAGGAAGTCGGTCTCCTCTTAAAGGAGGAGGGCGAGCCTGTGACCTCCTAGGGGCTAGATCTGTGAGTATCTAGTGAGCTGGTGTACACAGTTACCAGACAGTGGCCAGCACACAGTAGGTGCTCAACTAACAATTATCTCCTTTCCTTGCTCATGTCCCGCAAATCCCAAGAGTTTCCTCTGTGTGGCCACCAGGGGGCACCAAAGGATCGCCAGCGGGGACAGAGGAGAGGTCAAAGTCGCCTCAGGCGCTCACAGTGTAGCGCCACAGGCTAAAGGATGAAGTGTGCTGGGGTGAGCAGAAGGGCAGAGGAGGAAGAGGTCTCTGGGAGAGGGACCTCCGAGTAGAGAGGGTAGAGAGCACCTCACATTGGGAGGGGTCCAAAGTCAGGACCGTCCTAGAGGGGATGAGATAGGCTAGGGTGAAGGCCAGAGATCACATGGTCTTGAATGCCAAGCCCAGGGCCATCATGCAGATAGCGGAGAGACACCTAGAGCTGTGGTGGCTGCTGATGGAGTCTGAGTGGGCCTGGCTGGCTGGAGGAGCCATGGAGGATGGGTTTCTTCAGGGACAGAGCCACAGGAGATTCATGAGTGGGACACGGGACTTGAGGGTGGTAGCTATCTAATTGAGCTCAGAGGGAGCAGCCATGCTTAGCTTCTCTAGATGCTTGGTACCCATATCTCACTCCCACCTTCCCAGGAGGATGCTGAGGTATCCTGAGACACTATGAGGCTCTCTGAGATGTACCATGCCTTTCCTGACAGGGCCCTTCCATGACCCTCAGCTGCCTCAGGCCACCCAGGGACCATGACTCATACCCAGATTCCAGCCTTGACCATCAGGGTTTGGCTCCAAGTTGCCCTGGCTCAGTGGTTCCCCCTCCTAGGTCACCCCATCTCCCACCAGCTCAGCTCTACAGTGCATTCTGCCCCAGCCTAAGGTCTACAGCCATGACATCCAGCATAGAGCTTCCTGGGCACGGACTCTGAGTTCACTCTCCTGGTAATCTTGACTCTCTGGCCCTCCACTCCCTCTTCTGTGGTCCCTGGTATGAGACTCGGTGAATGAGGCCTCACCACGATGGTCTCGGTACAGCTGGAGCCACAGGGCTCAGACAGTTGTGGGGGCGGGCTGGAGGCAGAGTTGATGGAGCCTCTGAACAAAGGTAACCGTGGACATCCTTATTGCTAAGCCTTCAGACGGTGCAAACCACTCTGTGTCCAGAGGTGTCCCAGGGGCTGGCTCCACACAGGAGTGTAGTTGAGAGCCTTTGGGAATGCTTCTAAGCTCAGCACCGCAGGCTTTTGAGCTGAGCATCCCTTCATGGGGCTTTGCTCAACTGTGTATCTACTTCTCTGATCTATCCCAGAGCTGAGCTGGAGCAGCAGGGCCCTGGAATAAAAACAGGTGAACAGCCAGGAGAGTAAGCCCTGGCCAGCTCCTCCCGCCCCTCTGCCTGTTTGCACCAGCCTGGCCGCAGGAAGAAGGCTCCAGGCCTCAGTGCATGGCCCAAGCCGTTACTCTCAAGCTCCAAGGTGGGGCTCAGGGAGGCCGAGGATGCATCGGGCCTCTGGGATCAAAGTGGACAGTACTGTTTCTCTTGTCCCCACGCCAGTTCTGTGCTGCCCTGGGTTCTGAGGTGGGGAGGGCAAGCCAGGACACCAACCCGAGGCTGGAATTAGGGTTAGGGCGGGGGGCACCAGCTCCGGGAAGCAGCAGGCTCTGTTAGAAATAACCCTGGTGCTGGAAACAGCAGCACTTCCCCAGGAGACAGGGGCGTACCTCACACCCCTGGCATCCCCAGCTCCCTGAGGGCAAGTGTCACCTTGACACAGGACAAACCGACTTAGGTCAGGGACACTGTCATACTTCTAAGGAACCATGCATGAAGCCTGATGCAGAATCCATGCCCAAAATGAGGGTCTTCACATACCACCCACCCCCGACAGCAACTCCAGAACAATGTTGCCGAAGAGGCGGCTGCAGGCCAAGCTGGTTTAGTACCAGGGGACCAGGACCAGGCTGTTCCCTGCTTCTCAGGCTGCAGGGGGTACTCAGCCAGGGACCCTGGAATATAGAGGTCCCCCCCCTTTCTCCTTCCCTGAGCCTGCCCTATTGAGGCGACAGCCTGGGATGAGGCCTCCTGAAATAACCAGATCTGGTTAGTGAGGCTAATTTTAAAAGCCACTCTGGCTGCCCCATGGGCCCTTCTGGGAAGCTGTGAATGTTCCTGTGTGTGCCCCTGGGAGGGGCTCCTACTGAACACCCCACGACGCTTCCTAAGGCCTGTGAGCCAGGCCTAATGCTTGGGCTTCAGAGGCCCAGGCTCCGCTCTGCCACAGTGCAGACCCTCCCCCACGGCCGCTTAGCATCTTTAGCTTTTTGTCTTGGTTTCTGGACTGTCCCCACCCCTGTCTTCTGCTTCTGGGTCTCATGCGCCTCTGTCACGGTGTCCCCTCTGTCTCTGACCCTCTAGTCTAGCCTCTGCAGCTGGGACTCCACCCCTCTCCAGGCCTATCTCCCAGGAGACCGGATACAGCATACCGGACAGTCCATAGCCTGCTCTGTGCAGGCTGGTGGAGGTGGGTGTCCACCTGGAATCGAGGGCAGGAGTCCTAGAGCTGACAAGAGCTAGGTCCGGCATGCAGGGGCCAAGTCCAGGCACGACCTGGACCATCTGGCCAGGCCAGGTGCCAGCTGGGGGAATGAGCTTCAGGGCAAGGGTTGGCAGGCAGCAAACAGAAACATGCGGTACCCAGTTAAATTTGAATGTCAGGTAAACACAGACTCATTTTTAGCTTAAGTATACCTCATACAATATTTGGGACATACTTATAGCAAAAAAGAAAAAAATTATTCCTGTTTACCTGACATTCACAGTGAACTAGGCGCCCTGTGTTTTATCTGGCAGTCTCGTCCTGGTGGCCCTAGGAGTGAGGGGTCGCCTCTCAGGGACAGCCAGTTCTACAGACTGGTTTGAGGGTAGAGGCACAGGTCCTGCCTGGCAGGGGGCAGGGCTCCGTTTTCAAATGGGGAGAGTCTTTGGGAGACATGGTGAAGGGCACACGCCATCTAAGCACAGTCACGTGGCAGCAGAAGAGAGGGTTGTATGTACGCTGCTGAGCCCCAGGAGCAGGCACACAGTGCGACCTCTCTAAGTGTTGAGTGAATAAGACTACTCACAACCCATCCCTGTAGGGTGTGGGGCACATGGCCAGAAGGGGGCTCTAGCACCCTGCTCCTAAGTTTCTGGGAGCCAATGCCTGGTGCACTGGCTCCAGCCCCAGGCTCTCCAAAGGCAGCTTCAGTATGGAAAGAGGAAAGGGTTGAGGGCTCCTCTTTCCCCAGCCCACTCTGTCCCAGACCAGTATTGGGGCTCAGCTGCTGTCAATGGTGCAGGAGACAGGCCTGAAGCAGGGAACTCTGCCTTCTGAAGTGGAGGACCAGACCTGAGGTACTATGCTGTGCTCTCTAGGGGGCATCTGAGCCATGGGACACCTAAGACCCAGTGCGTTGGAAATCCTTGACCCTGGGGGATGAGGTTTCAACCATGATTCCATAGTCCATTCATCTCAGGGAGGGAGCAACTGGGGGAAGGTCTGTGTGCCTCTTATCCCTCTCAAGACAGGGCCCATTAAATAGCTTATCCACCCACCTAGCCACTCACTTATCCATTCACCCATCTATTCATCTACAAACATCCACCCACCTATCTATCCATCAACTATCCATTCCTCTACCCACACATCTCCCCATATATCCACCCACCCACCCACTCACCTACCTATCTATCAACATACTCACCTATCTACCTACAATCCATCCCTCCACCCACTTATCCATTCACCCACCCACCCACCCACCTATCTATCCATCCATCCATGTGTCTATCCACTTACACACCTATCTATCTACACATCCAGCCTTCCACCTACCTATACATTCACCCATCTACTTATCCATCATTCATCCATCCATCCATGTGTCTATCCACCTACACACCTATCTATATACACATCTAGCCTTTCACCTACCCATACATTCACCCATCGACTTATCCATCATCCATCCATGCATCCACCTGTCTGTCCACCGATACACCTATCTATCTGCATATCTAGCCCTCTACCCACCATTCATCCACCTAACCACTCACCCACTCATCTACATCTATCCATCTATTTATTTACCCACCAACCCATCTATCTACCCACACATCCATCCATTCATTTATATATACCTACCTGCCTATCTATTCATTTATATATCTATCCATCCACCCACCCACCTACCCACTCATCCACTCATCCACCCATACATCTACCCACACATTCACCCATCCATTTACTCATCTGCCCATCCCTCTGTCCCTCTACCCAACCATTGACCCATGCACCCATCTCCTGCTTATCAGCTGATCTTTTCAACAGCTCATCCATCCACCCACTCAATCTGTCCTCCACCACACTTCCACCCTTGCTGGCTTGCTCGCCATTTCTATTCACTCAGATGACTCACCCCTTGAGTCCCCTGCCCAGGTCTTCTGCTGAAGGGTCTCAGAGCAATTTGTCCAACTCTGTGAGGGACACCTATGCTGTGCCATGCCTCATTCTGCTCCTGGCTCCAAGCCTGACTGTGGACAAGTCACTGGAGGCTCAGAACCTCAGTGTTCCCTTCCCTAGAATGGGGCCCGCACTAGCAGCTCTCTCCCAAGGTCTGTGAG